ATTTAAAAGCAACGTATTGGGCCCAATGTTATGTCATAAATTAGGCCAAATGAGGTTAAGTTAGAAGACATTTATTTGCTTTGAGATGTGTTATTTCGCAGCAGCCAAGGCCCAAGGAATAATTAATTTGTGGGGCCCAAAAAATTACTTGGATTGCTGGGAGGAATTTGATTACTTGAGGGAACTTTAGAAATTAATTTCCAAGACACAACACTCACACAGGGGCTGAAGAGTTTAATTGCTGGAAGAAGTTTTGATAAGTGGGGGCACTAGGTATTATTTGCTTAGAGTACACGCAGCAAAGGGACTACACTCAAAGTAAGAAGGACAGACAGTGGAGAGAATTATAAACGGGAGAAAAAGACACGCATAGCAGAGACGGCTCAAATTGGGAAGAGAAAATAAAAGATGCTACACACGGGAAGAGAAAACCGCACTCACACACTAGGGAGATTTTTTTTATCCAATTTGAGGGACAGTTTGAACTCATATTTCAATTTGTCTATGTTTGGAATAATTTATATTTATCGTGATTAAGTGAAATGCCGTATTTAATTTTGTTGATAAGTTGATTCATGCTATACGTGTTTAATGTTTAGAAATTATGGTGTTTGATTCAGTTTGGTCAGCTATGCATAAGTTAAATGGTTCGAGATTTCGCCTCCGTTGCTTAGACTAATATATTTTACTAGAAATTAATACTGCTAGTGCACTAAATCTAGAGGGCTTATTATAGGTTGTCCACTATTTAAGTTTAGTCGAAGAGCTTATTTCGATTAAATAAACAGTAAGAGAAAATCCAGTTAACAGATCATGTTGTTAGCTAGGGTTGATAATTCGTTAGCAATTTAAAGAAGGCGTTAGAATTAATTAAAGGTAGATTTAGATTGGGTGATAACTGGATCGAAAACTAGACTTCTCTTATTTTATTTTATTTTTATTTTTATTTTGTTTTTAGTTTTATGAAATCGATCCTTCCTCCTCCCATCTTTATTTGCTTTCTTAGTTTTAATTCGACCAAAACGAGAATAATCACAATTTAATTCTTTCTCCTCGTGGGATCAACCCTTACTTGCCGCTACTACTAGTTAGTGGAGGTTTGTTGAGAAAACTTTATAAATTTAAATTTGTCGCATCGCGACGCGCAATCAAATATTAGCGCCATTGTCGGGGAGTGGCGCAATTGAGTCGTGATTATTTTAGTATTAATTGTATTAGGTAATTAGATTAGTGTTTATATATTTTATTTTATTTTTCTTTGACTTTTTTAATCCCCCTATTTTTTTTAGGGTTTCTTTTGCAAGTGGTATTCGTTATAAGGATGCGTATTGGACCCTTGATTATGCTTATACTTACAATTCTTATTATGGAAGGAGGGAAGAAATAATAAACCCACATCGTAAGGCTAGGATGTCGGTTATGGTTCAAGGAACCATTGAGAGTGTTCGTCAACTTTTAAGAAATCCATGTCGTCTATGTCATACCACACGTCACGTCACCGATGACTGTCCACTTTTGTTCGAAAGGTATGGTGCACGCAGATCTACCAAGAGAGATTGATATCGACAAGACGATTGGACGTACTCAAATTTCGATGGGGATCATTACGGTTGGGGCGATCGTGAAAATTCATTCTATGAAAATCCACAATATTCTCGATCGTATGAGCCTACTTATGAGAACGATGATTCTAAATTCCACTATGAAGGCTCACAATATTGTTCAGAATCTTCACTTAAACAAGAGGCTAGTCCATCATTGGTGAAATTATTTGAGAAGTGTCAAAATTATTTGATGGTTAGTAGCAAATAAAGATTGATGATGTATTGAGCGAATTGATGCCCGAGTCAAGAGTCGGCTATCATCTCAAGCCGAATTGAGCCAAAGTGATGTCAGAATCCTTGGGCTGAGCAGTGAGATGGAGTCCGAGGTTCTGGAAAATCATGTTTCTGAGCCGACGGATGTTCCGAGCGACAAAGAGAATGAAGAAGAAGAAGGCGAAACGGAGCAAATTTTCGCTGTTATTGGCTCCCCCGATAAAAACCTGGTAGCATTTTCTACTACTATCGGGGGCCCCGATAACAGTCCACTCTAAGGTGAAAATGACGTAAAAGCTCCATCAATTGTCCGGAGCATGACTGAAAATCAAACTCTTTTATCCAGGGACAGACAACCAGTGACCGCGCGTCGCGACACGGTCAAAATATAATATTTATTTTCCTTAACCGACTTCTACCAACTAGCAGTAGTAGTAAGCAAGGGTCGAACCCACAGGGAGTGTGGAATTTAGTTGTAATTATTCTCTTTAATTGAAATCATGGAAATACTAATAAAAAGGAGGGTTTTGATATAAATTAATTAACTACTAGAAATATGAATAATATAATGAAATCAAATGCAGCAAATAAAAATGGTTATCCAATAAATGGGAAATATCTAGTCCATGGTTCCGTCTACACCCTCGATTGACTCGTCTAATTAATTTTAGTATCAGATTTCGCTATCTCCTGGAATTACTAGCCCTAGGTAACGACACGGTCTGTTACCCGAATTTTTCCTTATTTTTAATTTAACCGCGAGACGCTCGACGATTAAACCTGACTTTTTGTACAGTCCAGAAAAACGTTTTCAAGATTTAATACAATTAGCCGCTTTACGATTTAGAAAAATAGGCTAGACTAATTAGTGAACTCAACCGCGTTCGTTCACTTAATTAGGCCGTGTTATCCCCGGTAGTTACCATCTTCCGGTTACCTCTTATGAATTAAACACAACAACAATTACGGATTGCAGGCCTAATTCAGATGTAGATATGAAAAGCCTA